CCTGCCATTTCATCTTGCGTTGCATATTTACTTTGGGACTACGGACGTATTCCGGGAGATCCCCCAGCACTGCATATCCTCCAGCACTGCATATTTACTTTGGGACAACAGACGTATTCCGGGAGATCCCCCAGTACTGCATATTTACTTTGGGACTACGGACGTATTTCGGGAGATCCTCCAGCACTGTATATTTACTTTGGGACTACGGACATATTCCAGGAGATCCCCCATGTACTGCATATTCATTCGGAACTACGGGACGGTATCCCGGGAGATTTCCCATTGTGTTTATTTTGTTCTGAGCCGAGGGCTCCCTTAACTGTTAAATTTTCGAAAATCTCTTTAACTGTGTCACCATAAATTTTATTTATATCTTTTACTGTTTAATTTATTATATTTACTTCGGTAGGGCCTTGACCTGGCCTCGTCATTAATCGACCGAGGTTAGGTTTGGCACTTACTGGGTACCATTGTGGTGTACTCATGCCCTTCCCTGCACATATTTTCGTGTGCAGATCCAGGTGCGAGATATCAGCCTCGGGGTTAGTACGTGCTGCTGATTTTAGGAGACTTCAAGGTACTACTACTTGCGTCCGCAGATCTTCGGAGTCCCCTTCTACTCCCTCGTCTAGAGACTTTCCTTATTATCTTCAGACTTTTGTATAGAGCTACATAGATTTTAGCAGCTTGTGACTTAGTGATATTCCGGGTCTTGAAAAATTATTTTGTATATGCCGAGTGGTACTACTCTTGGCTATTTATAATATGATGTTTATCTTTAAAATGTTGTATTTTCTTTATATTTTTTACAATATTAGGCTTACCTAGTCGTAAAGATTAGGTGCCATCACGACACCTTACGGAGGGTTAATTTGGGTCGTGACATTTTTGTCTGCACAAATGTGCCTAGTAGCACCAGAGTCTATTAACCAATTTCTCACATTGGTCACATTATTTATTTGGGAAATGAACGCGACAATTATATTATCCGCTTTAGTCAAATTTAATTTTGACTTAGCGAGATTGTCATTTATCCCAACTCTTCTCTTGCATTGAGGTGCATTTTTCTCGAAGGCTTTAATATTAGCATTAGATATGTAACCATGTCTATTCACATACCTGTGTTTTGACAGTAGTGTCTGTCAAAGTTGTGGATGCAATAACGTATTTGCAATACCATGTATATCTGGCAGGACAACTGGAACATTAGCAGCGAAGACAGCACCAAAACTGGTAGCACCATCAACAATTTTCGTAGTAGTATTACTTGCCATAGTTTCTTAGATTGTAGGGAAATGACACCCGAAAAATAACAACAATACTGCAATAATATTACTTATGAGCAGAATTACACGAATTGGCTTAAGTCGTGCTGGGCACTGTCCTAAGAAACTATTTCAGCAATGTGAAATGTTTCCCCATGATTAAACAAACCTACCTATATTTATTTAGAGGATACAGGAATCAACAAAATTAAATAATACCAGTAAGTTTGGAATGATGAAATAAACAAAGGTTATAAAAAAAATTGGAACACACAAAAAGCTAAGCGTAATTGAGAATGAGAAGGCTTATAGTGATGATTACTAATCATTAGCAATCATGATAGAACAAAACAGTTGTCGGTGTCTTCGGATGGTATTGGAAGCGAGTATTTATAGTTGTAAGAATTGTGTAAGAAAATGACAAGTGTTCATCTACTTGTCAAAAACTTTCCATGCAAAGAGACATTTGGTAGGGGCTCTATACACTTGGTCATAGCATCAAGGAGATCAAGCCACATAACTATTTATATAGCTACTTGTCCACAAAAATATTGAAATACTACCACAACGACATACTCATTACTCGGTTACTAATTATCCATGAACAATTCATACTCTATATAATTGATTTCTACTCGATATATAATTAGTGTATAAACATTACACATTAACGATACACTAGTTATAAAGGCTTAGCACTCTGCTCTTCTCGAGTTGACGATTGACCATTTACTGAATACAAGATACGGATGTAATAAATACAATATTTTCTCTAACATTCGTAACAAAACCTCAATTAAATTCTTGTCAATGAGATCTAACTCAATCAGATTATCTCTATACACCGCGCTAACACATGCTATAAAGTTGTAAACATTAGCGAATGCAGTAACCAAAAGATGGCAAAGTCTTTAGCATCCCTGTATTGTGTTGTTGTGCTGGTTTCCCTCGTCCTTGGTAATATACACTTGTCTTTTTCTTTTATTTCAAGATTTTTAGTTGTGCGATATTATTTGAGCACTAAAATTTGTCATTGCTCGTTTATGAATTTTGGAGAATTTAGTTTATTCTCGATGATAAGAGCCCGTCTCCATTAATATTTAATTTGATTAATTACATTCTTTTATGTTTTTAATGACATGCAGTTGATGAAAATGTAGTGAAAGTAGGACGAGTTGAAGGCAAAACATGCTTCAAAGTGTTGAATGAGATATTTTGCAAGAATGATGACCCAGAACCAGACTGCTTGGCTGCTTGCAAGCATATAATAGGAGGTGGATCTGGAGCTACTTGTGCAGCTCAACTTGCTGGACCTAGCATTTGTGCTTGTGCTTATGAATGTTAAATTATCTTGATTTTACTCTTTTTTTTAGTCTTCACATATGTCTCTCTAAAACTTTTAATTTGGTGGTAAAAAGATATTTTGAAATCCTCTTATAGCAATGTATTGTAGTACTTAAGGACAAACAAAATCACAACACCACAAGAAAACGAATATTAGGAGAAACCAGTAAGGTTTAAGATATTTGCTCATCGTTAGCCTGTTTATTTTAAATTTAACTTCTTATCAAATTAAAGCATGGCCTCTTGAAAGGCAGCAAATCCTAAATTTTCATAGGTATAGCCGTATAGTATAGTGTTGAAATTGAGAATAGTTGATCACTGTTCTCCTCGAGCCCCTTCTTTTTGCTGAGTAGGCTATAGCTCTGTTTTCCGGAAACATTGAGCAAAATTGCACAATACACTATGTAAATGAATACTTTCTCTAATATTTTAAAGATATAATATTCATTATTATTAGATTATTTAAATTGTACATTGATTAATTTGGAATAAGGGTTTATACATTTTCACATGCTAAGAAAGAAAATAATTTTAACTAGTCGTCGTTCACATCTAAACATAATAGCTTATTAATCAGATGTATACTAATTAAGATTCAGACATTTTAATGATAATCATAGTAATAAAAAATAAACAAAGCCTATGTAAATTCTCCCATATATCCTTTTGTTCCAACTTGTTAGAGAAATCTCTTGGGATGATACCTTTTCCACTTAAATTATAAATGAGATTTTAAACATTTTTTATCAGTTCACAGGCTTGTAAAGTTAATGGTAACAAAAGAATTCAATTAGTTTAACATGGCATTTATACTTAATCAACAAAGACATACTATATTTTCTTTTTACAAATATNATTTTATTTTTTATTTTTATTTTTTTCACATGATAAATTTAATATTATGGTACATACAAGGGTAAGCATTTTAATTCTGTTTTGGTTATTTAATAATGAAATATATATAACTTGTACTGCTAGATTCCTTTAGCGCACTGGTTTTCAGATTATATACGCACAAATCATAAAGGCACGGGTTCGATCCCCCACTCTGCCTCTAGAACTTTCCACCAATGAACATCTAGGGTTTTGTTCTTACGACACTCGAAGAAAAGCCGCCCACCCGCCTCCCCTCATCCGCCACTATGAGATCAAACCGCAACCGTCTTTCGGCGGCGATTCCTCTTCCGTCCACTGCTTCAACCGAATCCGACTACGCCTTCACCTTAACCAGAATAGCAGTGGCGCAGATCTGCGATTCAATCGGATTCACGGCGGCGGAAGCTCCCGCTCTCCGAACCCTAACCGACGTCGCGGCCAGGTACTTGAGATCAATCGCTAAGTCCGCTGCCGACACAGCAAACTCCGCAGGCCGCACGCAGTCACAACTCGTCGATACCGTCGCCGCCGTGGACGAGCTGAGCTCCGTCATTGGATTCGCCGAAGCGTGGAGAGCTACTGGAAGTTTACTGAACTCCGGCGCAGTGAAGAATCTCGTTAGTTTTTCTAAGTATTCGGAGGAAATTCCATTTGCAAAACCGTTGCCAAGGAAAGTATTTTCAATAGGGAGAGGAAAAGGTTTGCGGAATGTAGATAGCAATGAGTACATTGGAGGGGAGGGGAAGCATATTCCGAAATGGCTACCCATAATGCCGGTGATTGAGAAGGAGGAGGAGAGGGGAGGCAAAAGAAAGGAAATTTGGGGATTTTGTGGTAAAAATGAGGAAATGGAGAGGGAAATGAAATTGGAGAAGAAAGATATGGAATGGGAGAGGAAAGGAATTGAATTGCCATTGAAGAGAGGGAAAGTGAGGTTTAAGATTGGGAATGGTGGGGGAGTTGTAGGGGTGTATAGAAGGGGCGGAATAGGGAAGAGGGTTTTATGTGAGAGTTGGATTTGTCAGGAACAAAATCAAAAGAAGAGTTTGTAATACAGTGGAAAAAATAGGACGATGAAGCTGGAAGCATTGCGAAGAGATGAGCTAATGATATATTAGAAAGAAGAAGCGGTAGAATTTGAAGATCTGCACACAATGTAGCTAAGTACTTTTTTGGTTTGAAGTTAGCAGGAATTGAACCCTTGACGTGTTGGTCGTGATTTAAAAAAAAAGCTTTTTATTTGGGCTGTTCGCTACATTGGACCATCTTCCCTGCAGCCATGATACACGGGACTGTCTCTATTTCTAATTATTATTAAGGTGCTCATAAGATTCACTAAGTAACGTAACAAACGGAAACTCAATTCAGATTTTCAGTGGAAAGATGTTACGTACTTCTTTTTTTATCTGAATGGAGTGAGTTTACTTAATTAAGTAATACTTGTAAAATTTGTAAATGCACAGTTATGTTTTTCCCAATTAATAATGTATTTTAATTGGGTAAAATGAAGGCATGCGCTTTCAGTAGCTGTACTGAAGGGTTAACTTGGCCTCGTCCTCAGCATAAATTACCCTTGGTTGAAAGGAGCAAACATTATAGTAAAGCATATTATCAGCTTCGTAAAGGTAAAGGAATTTGATTATGAAATGAAAGATTGATGAAGTTCATCCTCCATCTGTTAAGACTGCAACCATCAACACCACCTAGATTATCCCATTTCCACTAAAGACCTTCCTGACCATTTTTAACTAAACGAAAAGAAAATTGAACACGAAATTTTGATCAAAGCACAATCTCAGCAAAACAAGGGAACTACAAGCTTAGTGCAAAAATAGTTGTTGTCGGGATCTCAAACAAGGCTCATTTTGTTTACTTCCCCAATAAATCATGTACTTTCACTACTACTCGCCTGCAGAAAGCTGAAATAATCGAAAAATGGTAGACTTCTGAATTCAAGAACTGTTCACAGGATCTCGAATACTCCTCATCTTTGTATAGAGTATAGACAATAGAAGGGAACGTATTACCAAAAGAGAAATTAAAAGGAAATTTAGCACACAGCTAAGACATACTAAGTGATTCAAGCATCTTGTCAGTATAAAATGGATCACATTTATCAAAGATAGGTTGTTGTCTTGTCTCTAGCCAACGCAAGTATCCTTGGAGGACATATTCATTCTTCAGCAGCGCCTTGTGGACTTTGAAGTTGATATGTACTGAACCTCCCAAGTTCATGGAAGATTTACAGACAAACCAAAAGGCCCACATAGGAGGTAATTACCTGCAAATTGAAAAACTGCAGATCAGAAGACATACCTGATAATCTAGTTCCGTGGTGTGACATAGAACCAGGGCAGCATCCTGACCAGCAACAGGTTCACTCTTTCAAGTCTTGAATAAAGAGATCAACTTCAGGCCTTAGTAAAATGATGCTGGTTTTTCATTTTCAGTAGACAATTCCTATAGCTCATGTTTTCTATTCGGTTAAGTAATGAAACCTGCCACTCGTATAGTTAATTACAGGACTGCTTTTGTTCATTCTTGTAAGTACCAACTCTTGAGGAAGCGCTTTTATCCACTTTTTTGCAACCTATTTTCAATAAATTCATTGTTCGCCAATAACATATATAGTAGAATAAATCATCACATCAATATAACTTCTCATTCACCTTAACCCTGAATGCTAATTACTTCCTCACAATTTTCAAAAGGATTCTAAAGGAACACAAAGTTAGCAAACACCATATACTTTTATATTAACTCATTCACTTGAGTAATGAAACAGATTTGCTAAAGTGAAAGTTCCATTGGAAGAAAGAAATGGGACATACAGAATTTCTCAAAAAAAGGGGACTAGCAATTACAAATTTGATCCGAGTAAATAAAGGCCTTGCAATCTGAAATTCCCTAAAACTACAATCATACTTGGACACGGTATACAGCATCAAAAGACAATTAAGCTACAAGCAGAAACGATTAAAAGCAGATATAACTTGGAAACATTGTAGAATCCAAAACTCTGAAGATGCCTTGGCTTCATCCGAAGTGTCAAATCTAGTCAATGAGTACTATTGTGAAGATATTATTGCAGCTGCTCCATATTCACGATGAAACAAATAAACCACTAGTTTGGATCGGAAAATTCAGCAGAAAACTTCAGCAAATAATAGCATGTAGGCAGAATGCTGGGACAAAAATGACCTAGAATGAGAAAAGTATCGCATCACCTAGGTCTCAAACAAGCCCTGTTCATAACTTATGCTGCAAAAATGTACTCAGAGAAAGATTGCAGTAGGATCCCCTGGTGATGGAGGATTCTGCCTCACAACTGCAGCATGAGGCCCTGCTCTCTCCAGGGCATCATCTGCCATTGATAAGATCTCCAATCTCTCAAGACCAAGCTGTCTCTTGATCAAGTCCGAGTTCTTCTCAAGGACTTCAATCTCACCAAAAGGAAGCCTCAAGCCCAATGCTTGAACCCCAACAGCCACAACTTCGTCTTTCTTGAACCTCAAGAAAGGCATACAGAGCTTTTGTATTTGTTTGAAATTGCCTTGTTGCGCAATATCACTCTTCTGCAATTCGGTGAGGATTTCTTTGTCAGGTGCAAAGGAGCCAGTTGATGTATCAAATTTCCTCTGCAGAATCTCCAAACATTCCTTTTTCCACCCACGATACTGCTCGTCCACATATATCAGGCCCACAGTAGGTTTGTTTTGGCCATTCAGATTAACATTTCCTTTCTTTGAACCAGAAACCTGCTTCTGAAGTAGCTTCCTCATCGAGACAATCGTGTCTTGCAAATAAATGTTGGCCTTCTTAAGGGTAAGATCTGGCAAATCAGCCTCTGGCCACCCAGCTTTTATGACATAACCATCCTTCTTCAAAAGCTCTCTCCAGGAATATTCAGCATAGTGTGGGCAGATCGGAGCAATAAGTCTTGTTTGAACATCCATAAATCGCCACAGCAAATTCTGGTTCATGCTTCCTGAACCACAGGAAAGCCTGTACTCATCTCTGGCAGCCTGAAGATCATAAAAACCAGTTTTCAGAGCTTCACGGAACATGTATTCACTATAGTTCTTCTCTGTAGTCCTGACTGCAATATTTATTTCATTAGCAAAAACGTGGTCCGCATATGTGGATGGTGGCCGGCTTCTTAAAGATGACTCTGCAGCAAGAACCTCCTGCATCCATGCTATTTCTTTTGTGAGACGTAAGATAGCAGCATTAGCTGTTTCAAAGACGAAGTTAGCATCGTCCATCCCATCACCCGCATCTGCAAGAGCAAAGCGTGTGGCATCAGCAGAAAATTCTTCAATTGCCTGCCGGAGTGTTCGGAAATTTCCAGTAGACTTGGACATCTTCTCAGAGTTCAGCATTATATGCCCATTGCATCTGAAACCACGTGGCCAGTGGTGCTCAGGGAAGATGGCGGTGTGGTTATAGATGCAAAAGGTAAGATGATTCTGAAGAAGATCCTTGCCAGAAACTCTGAGATCGAATGGATACCAGTACTCAAACTCCTTCTTCATCTCCTTGAGAAGAGAAGAAGATAGGGAAGAATTTTCGGGAAAAGGCCCATCACAGAACAAGAATTCCCAGATCTCATCTATCAGCTGCTCTGGTTTCACTGAAGAATGGTCAGTACCATACATGTCCCCTTTCTGCAAGAAATGTGCCACAGTGTAATATGCCATATAAATAGTGGAATCAGACAAGGACTCAACTAAAAATTCCTCATCCCAAGGAATACGAGTCCCAAGCCCAAAACTGCGAGAGCAAGCCCACTGATTAAGCCAGCTGAGAGTGTGCTCAAAGCCATGACGTGTCTCATCAGAATAGAGATTCATACTGGCCAAACACTCCTCTGCAGCCTTCCTCCATTCTGATTCTCCATAAGTGAGATACCACTGATCAGTCAAAGCCACAACACACTCATCCCCAGATCTCGACATGACCTTTTTCTCAGGTTCACTATATACTACAGCTTGATTCATCTCCAAAAGGTTGCTCCTGATCAGACCTTTCGCTTCTTGGACTTTCATACCAGCAAATTCTCCAACAATCATGATTCCCTCATAAAACCCGCCCTTGTAAATTATTTTCTTTGCCTCATCAAGCTTATCTCTCTCATTCTGGCTCTTGATTTTTTTCTCAATGCAAATTCTCTCAGCTGATCTATCTCCAAAATCTGGATGGTTGATAATCGGAACTATCTCAAACGGCAAGACCCACTCATCCTTCACCCCAAATTTGGCCCTGAAAGCTGGCTTCGACTTCAGATCATGGAGGGCCATATAATCATCTGGGGAATCACTGGGAACACTAGTTACAATTCCAGTACCCTTTTCAGTAAGAACAGATAACATGGGCAGAGTGTATATTATCCCATTAAATGCCAAGGGAGACCTCAGGGGCAACCCTATAATATCTTGACCAGACAATTCAACCAAACAAGAAGGCTTCTCAGGGATAAGAGACAACCTTTGATAGGCTAGATTAAGAGCTGCCTTATAAGTTAAGACAAAAACCTCAGTATCATTAATCTCAAATGCCCCGTATTTTCCTTCTGGCAAGACCCAAGCATTTGTTTGCCCATACATGGTCTCTGGTCTCAGTGTAGCTGCTGCGAGATATACCTTCTTCCCCTCCAAAACACTCATCTTTGGTGGAAAAGGTGGGAGAACTTCCATCTTGATAAGAGTATATTCCTGAGGAATAACTCCTTCACCAGAAGCACGGTCATGGTCAGCACATGGCTGACCATCTAGGGGTGAATATACGGTGTACCTCAGATCTTTAACAATCCTTCCCAAGGCTTTCAGCTTCCGCATTTGCCACCGTACAAATGAATCAAAGTATGGATTCATGTTGGTTGTAATAAAAGTGCGACGCCAATCACAACCCAATCCGAACTCCTTCAGATCCTCTACAGCCAGTGGTGGAAAGTAAGTTAGCCAGTAATATGGGTCTGTAAACCTGGCAATTTCCTCGTCGGACAGACCATAACTCCTCATTATCTCCCATTGGTACTTATCACCACCAGTCT